CTCAGATGGGAGATGCTAACCCCCCTCCCACCCCCTGGTGAGGCCGTGCTGGGGAAAGAATACCATGAAGAGGTCTGACCTGAGTGAGACACATCTCAAAAGGAGGAGGGGGGAGGGAGCAATTCGATGGAAAAAGAGGGCTCAAAACCGGCCCCAAGAAGCCATCCTGAGTGGCCATGGTGATTTTTCATTCACGCTTTCCTGTGAAAAATATCTCTAGAGCTCCTGGGCCCTCTTCTGAAATTCTAAAAACGTACTGAGAGAGTTCCTTTCCTGATTGCAAACGCACTCCACGCTCGCTCTAAGGGGACAGTTGTGAGGGTCGGAAGGGGGCGGCGGCCTCCCCGGGAAGCACTTACGTATCGCAGCAAAGCCTCCTCGCCGAGCGCTCGCACCAAACCCTTGGTGTCCATCTGCCCCAGCCTGAGCACGTAGAGCGGCCGGCCGTCTACGGAGGGGAAGGAAACGCATGATCGGCACCGTTCCTGGCGAGCAGCTGACCGGAGCCTTAACAAGGAGCGTGCTTCCCCGCTCAGAGGCCGCAGCCGGCTGCGTGGGCACAGCAGAGGCCCCCCAGCAGCCGCCCCTCTGCCCGGGACCCGGGGTATCCAGCGGAGCTCAGCCTCCGTCCGGCCCTCCTCTAACCGCCGGTGCCGACCGGGGCTCAGACTCCTCAAGAACAACCAGGGGGTTGAACAGAGCCCACTTTCAACAGCGGGGGGCGAGGGGGGACCTCAGGGTATCCACGCTTCTTCCGTGAGCAGGGAGTATTTTAAATCTTTGATTTTTTTTTAAGGAAGAAAACGTGTTCATTTCATGGGTTACCAAAAAGTTAACGTCTAGATTTCCTAAAAGTCCACTTACCCTTGATTCCCGCCTAGAGAATCAAGATAATTGAGGACTTTCAGGAACTCTTTACTTTCATACCAACCAGCACAGGGCAGCTCTACGTGTTTATAGCCTGGAGGCCTAACATGGAGCCTGAGAGGAACCTCATTCGCTATACAGATGCGCTGTCATCACACGACAGCTACGAGGACGGCATAAAGACCTCAGTGGCCACAGTGGGTCCCGGAATCAACAGATTCTCTAGATTCTAGACCCCTGACACTTGCTGTCTCAGGGGAGCAGGGGAAAGGATAGGGAAGGAATCTGCTCCGGACAAGCACCTGAGACCCGTCTTGTGCCGTCCACGGGGGGCCAGCCCGCTCCTCTGACGGGGCCCAACTTTTCCTTGTGTTTATCACCCTGTGAACTTCATTCACCTCCCAATGGCTCTAGACCTGTTCTACTTAAAACAAAAAGGTCTTTGCGCTCCCAAATCCTGTTGAAGGGAAGGTTTACGAAAAGTGTCTCCCAACGTTTATAAAATACATTAATGTCTTACTACCACGCTTCAGTCTTCGAAGGGTCGGAAAACAGAATAAAGAGATGTTTCCAGTAAAAACTAATAAAGCTGCAATTAATATAGAAAAGCACAAAAGATGACGTCTGGAAAGCAGACACATCAGAGCTATTCCGCTTGGGAAGGGCCTGCTTTGAGGGGGAGGGCGCGCCAGGGCCGCCCCATGCCCTCTCCACGTCTGCGATCCCGTCCTGTCCGCTGCCCAGCTCTGAACCAGGATGCAGCGGGCACACCTCTGGCAACGCTGGCCTTCCCGCAACGCGAAGAAACTTGGCGGCCGAGGGGGG